CCGCGCTCCCCGGTGACGCCGCAGGCGAGTGGGGCCGGGGGGGCAGAGCCAGCCCGTGTTGGAGGCTGTGCCCGGCACCGGCGGCAGCCACGGACACAACGTGATCAAAGGTCACCTGCACCGCCCCGGAGCGCGGCGGATCCGCCGCCATGCCCTCCTGCCGTGCGGAATCGGTTCCTCCTTCGCCYAACGCCGGGAGGGGAAGCGCGGGGTGAGAGCTGGAGAGCGTGAGCTGTGCCCTGCTGGGGCCAGCCCTGCGAGAGGCACCGCCATGGCCCAGCAGCAGCGGGAGAAGAGCGTGGCGGAGCAGAAGGCAGCTGGCATCTCCCGGAGGTTCTCCTTCCTGGATGCCGCCCAGCCCCAGGCGGGCAGCCTGGCCCGCAGCTCCCGTCTCTGGCCAGCCACACTGGCGAGCAGGGAGCGTTTCCATACGCTGCAGAAGATGGACACCAACAAAAGCAACACCTGGGGCAGGCACAGCCTGGGAAGCTGGGGTAGGACTTCAGGCAGGTTCTCCATGGGCTCCAGCAGTGCCCGGAGGAAGGAGCTGAAGGAAATCCTCCTGCAGAGCAGCCCTGGCAGCACCCTSCGGTTTGCCAGCGCCCAGAAGACATCCAGCAACAGCAGTCTCCCAGCAGGGCTGCATCAAGAGGAGAAGCCTGAGCAGAGCCCTGATCTGCTGCCCCTTGCCCTCGATCCTCTGGAGCATGCATGGTTGCTGACGGTGGCCCAGGGAGATGCAGACAGCATCATCAAGCTGCTGGACCTGGATCCCAGCCTGCTGACCAGGAGAGACTTTGTGACAGGCTTCACTGCTCTCCACTGGCTTGCCAARCATGGCAACCACGAGAACTTCATCCAGGTCATCTCCCATGCCCAGAAGAAAGGCTACCCTGTCAATGTGAACATCCCCACGGCCAGTGGCGGGCTCACCCCCTTGCACCTAGCTGCCTTGCAGGGACATGAGGTGATTATCAAGGTGCTGGTGGGAGCTTACGGGGCAGACACCACCTGCAGGGACCACAACGGGCGCAAGGCTTGGCAGTACCTGTCAGCAGACACCTCCAGGGACCTGAAGGAGCTGGCAGGGGCTTTGGAGGAGGATTTGATCCAGCTGTACTCTCACAACACCAACAATAACTGTAAGTCATCCAGAGAGGCTGGGGCAGGGCAGGACTCGGTTGACTCCGGGGTCGAGGGGAAAGCCCAGCACTCCTGGAGCCTGTCKACACTCCGAGGCTTTGTTAGACAGGCATTTGCTTTCTTCCAAGAGCGCTGAAGCTCCCCTGGCCCCATTCACCTGTAAACCCATGCTGGATAGCAGCTGGAAAAGCCCGCAGGGAGCTGGGAACTTTGGTGCTCAAAATCGTGGCTGAGTGAGGGTTAAACCACAGCACCAAAGTCAGCCTGGATCTCGTGGGCTGTGCTGGTTTGTGTGTGTGTGGAGCACCATGGCGATTGGGAGCACTGCCTTGGGACAGCCTTTCCAAAAAACTGCCTGTCCGCAGAGGGGGTTTTGCCCCGTGCCCCTGTGAGCCCAGCAGATCCCCATGGTAAGCGCTCACATGTCAGCTCTGCTGTGCGAAGCTACTCCTCCACCATCCCATGTGCCCACGGGAGGATGCTGACCCATCATGTGTGGATCCCGTGCTGCAAACGCTTTCCAGCTTCCTGAAATATCCCCCAATCTCTGCCATATGCAACTTCTCTGGGCTGATATTTGTTTATGACAGATAAAGTTGATTCTCAATGCAGTAAGAGCTAAGGGTCCTGTTTGTCAGAAGAGGCCAAGCAAAGAGAAGCYTTTCAAAATGCAAGACAACTCACAGTGGCAGCCTTTCCCTGGAGACCGCCATCCCAGGAAACCTGAAATATTCAATCCTGTTGGGAATGGGGGCCAGAACAAAGGAGGCAGGAAGTACACCGGTGGAGCAGCACATGGTGGCTCCTGTGAGAACTAGAGCTCAGGAACAGCTCTGGAAAGATGATTCATTCTCAAAAACTGTGGAGAAGGTACGTTAAGGCTGTAAGATTTTCGTTATCTTTATTGCTACTGAGGTCATGCTCAAAAATGAAACTGAAAAATGCTGCGTGTATGTCCCGGTCACTGCATTAAAAGGGCAAAGCCTCTGCTCGCCTGTTTGTGTTTTGTTCACAAAGTGGAGCTCTRCCCTCATGATTTCAACTGGCTTTTTACATTCTCAAAGGCCAGGACTGCTTCAAAATATCTTCAGAAAAACAACAGCCCCTTCCTCTTTTTCATCAGCATGAGATTTTTCCTACACCCTTAAATAGCAGTCCCGTTTGAGAAGTGCCTTTCATACAGGAACCGGGGAGTTTCTGTTCCCCAGGGCAGAGCAGCAGCCCTTGCAGAGACACCTCCTTTAGGAGGGCAGTTGYGGTTTCTTGCCAGCTGCCTGGCAGGGGGTCTGCAGGGGTGACCAAGGGACTCAAGATGATCCGGCCTGGCTGCRCTGGTGAATTTGCATCTCGATGCAGAAAGATACACAAAAATACACAGGTAATTTCCTCCGATGAACTTGAGCCTGGGGGTTTCACAGACCCTGAGCAAACCCCACTTATATTCAGACTGTGTTTTGAAATGCTGCTTGGAAACTGAAATAACCCAATGTGCAGGAATGACATGTGGAAAAGCAGCCTCCACATGAGTGAACTRGGATCCAGTGACTGGACAATGCCCAGTCCAGGTGACTGCATGGACATATAGATGTGTCTGGACATCTTTTTAATCCCTGAGGTCATCAGCAGGTACATACAAAATATGCTAGGGATATTCAATGCCCAGTTTACAAGAGTTTTGTAACGCTTTAGCTCTAATAGTGAAGACTTTGGCAAYACAGCTCCTTCTGGAACTACTGTGGTCCCATCTGTGCAATGGGAGAGCAGGCTGCCTTCTCATGAGTCTTGCTCATGCCAGCACAAACTCCATGGACAGCACTGGTGTCAAGTTCTGGTAATCAAAATGCTGTTGATAAGACAGGTAGGACTGACAAAATATTATTTAACCTATCAGTCCTCTGCCACCCTTTTGCAGCTGTCAGGGAAGGGACACAGAATGGCTTTTACATCCTCCTCTGGGTAAGACACAGAGTAAACAGTGGAATTAATGAGAATTTCCTTGCAGGAACCGTTTTCTTGGCAATTGTACCTGTGTTAGTCATGCTCCACCCAGAAAMGTGCACCTAAATGTTCCATTTCAAAGTAAAATTTATCTGACAAATGCTGCACYTCTTTGTTAAGAAGGCTGAGTTTAACCAAAGTTTAATTTGAGCTAAATTGACTTTGCACTATCCCTTAACATTGAGTTTGAAAAGCAGATTCAGTCAAACGGAGGCTCGGCCACGTCACAAAGGTGTTTGAGCAGCAATGTTGGGGCCTCGCTGCCATGGCCTCCGCAGGCCCTYTGCAGCGCCAGTGTGCCTGGAGCTCCAGGCTCTTTAGAGCTCTGAGYCCTAACCCCAGGCAGATGGAAAATTATGAAAGGGGTTATTTTCCAAAGCAGCTCCTTAGTAGAGGCAGCTTCCATCTAATAAAAACACCACAGTAATGACGGTAATAGGGGGACTTTCTAATAAATAGTAATAAATTGTTTACTCTATTGCTTATGAAAGTTTTCCCACAAATGCCATGGAAAAAAAAACCTGTCTCTTTCCATTCTTAAGTCCATAAAATTAGTCTTTTCCTCCTCAGCCAGATCCCCATAGGCATAAAGAAACTCTATGAGCAGCTTTGCCTGCCAGCAGTGATGTGGAGAGGTTGGGGGAAGCTCGCTGGGCTCAAAGGCAGAATCCAATTCTCAGCAGGGCTGTTATTTCCTGAACACTTGCTTCTAAGAGAGGAGATTTAAAAATCACTGRGGTCAAAGTGGCTGCAGCACATGACCTCTGTTGAAACATCTCTGGCAATGCTGTTTGCTGCTTTCCTGTTGCAGTGACTTACTGCTTCCCCCTGATGATGGAGAGCCCAGAATTACCACAGGATAAGCTAGAGGATAGCTCTGCAGTATCCTGAAGCTGGCACAAATCCCAGCCTTGYTTGCCCTGACAAAACGTTGCAGCACACCTTAGAAAGGAGAGACCTCATCATCGGAGTTAAACGTGCATTTCTGAGCATTTATGTTTGGCAGATGCTGTGCCCAGTGTTATGTGCTCTGAGTTGCAATATGAAGGAGATAAATGTATTTATCTTCGRTGTGAAAAGCAGCAACACAGAAGGTGTGGCAGCCTGAAGTTTCCTCAGGAAGATGCCTCTCAGGAACAGAAGCATCAGCACAGGCTGACCCCAGGAATGAACCAGCACCTTGGCAGCCCTGTCAGGATGAGCTTTGCCACAGGCCAGAACAGGYTCACACTGTCAGGGATTTCCAGCTGACCAGAGCAACCACCCCAGCTCAGCACTGCGGCATGGGAAGGACTGGGTGCAGAGCCACAGCCTCCTGCTCCTCCAGTGCCCCGTGGTAAATAGGAGGTTTGACAGGTCTCTGACACAAAACCAGCAAGGGGAGCTGGAGTGCCAGCTACCCAGAGGTATTTAATCCCCTTTTCCCTCTCCCTCATACTGAGAACCTAACTAACATTACTGTGAATTTTATTCTGTTACAATCCCACATGTATGAAAAAATTTCAACTAAGTCATTCAGGTCCATATTTATTAGTAAGCCTGTGCATTGTCAATKCTCATTGTGGTGCCTGAAAGAAAGGACACCAATAGAACACAGTCTGCCTGTTTCAGATACAAATATTTTCCCAGTTAACATCAATAACCCAGACCAGCTTATAAAAACCCCGCATTAGGGACTGCAGTCCAGCACCGCAGAAGGAATGACTTGAGGGTGTTATCGATCTGACACAGAAAGACCAGCGTTCATTAGAGCTCCCATGACAGTCTCTCTTACAAGCCCAGTTTGGTCCTCCTCCAGTGTCTCCTTTTGGAGTTGTACCTAAGATAAAAGCAGAGTAAATTAGCAAAGTGCTCAGACACATCTGTTCAGACATGAAAGGGGAACAGCACAYGGAAAAGATCTCGTCCAGGAAAGCATATAAAGCATATTGACTTGTGAAGATGTACTTGTCCATGTTAAGAACAAAAGCTTTCACCACAGTGCAGGTGAAACTGCAGACAGTGTTAACAGAGTTGCTCTCAGCAGGAAAATGGCAGCACTCCCACAGCAGGAAGCACTGCAATTGCAGCCTGCTTTAACATAAAAMTTGGACAGAACTGATGACCTAGCTGCTTAAGTGCCATGATTTTGCKCTATGGTAGAGTATTTCAAAGTACTGCACTTTAGCAAAAACAAAACCCAGCTATAAATTGGCATGTGAAAGATAAGGAAGCAGCCGAGTGCATGCACCACTGATCCTGCCTAGAAACAAGCTGGGAACAGTTACAGGAACAGAACCTGGTAATGCTGTGCCTTTGCACTRCCTGAGCCAACCAGTACTTCTGTTGCTCTCCTCATTGCTTACAACAGAGAGAGAAGCAGAAGAAAGAATTTGGTTGCCTTAAAAAGCCCAGATGAAAGAGTGTATGAGAGAAAAAGCTCTCTGACTGCGTGAGTGACCAAACTATGCTGCAGCTTTCAACCTTGGACAGGCACCTCCCTGTGTGCCCCACGTGCACCAGTGTGCCACAGCACCCAGCATTTCCCTAAACACAAYGCTCGAGAACAAATACAACAGGAAAGCGAACTACGGAAAAATAATTCTGCAGTCAGGTGCCAAGCATCTCATACTACCTATCTGATTTCCCATACATCCAACAAGTCCTTTGCTCCCTTACACCATCCTTTAAACCTCAGACCACCCATGCTCAGAAAGGTACTGTTTCTTGAACATGCAGGAGCCCAGAGGKGTAGCTATGAGAGAAGACAGGTACTGGAAAGGGGAACGTCAAGAACAGACACTACCAGGGTATAAAATCTGGAATAAATCATCTACACGTACAGTTCAGGATTTCACTGTACATGTATCACCGCTGAAGGCCTGTGGACACTTGGAGGGCACTGGAGCAAAACTACAGAAGAAAATGGCACGGAAGCYCCACGCTGCCTTCAAGACGCTTCACCTGCGCTACCATCCCTGCCTGGTCCTCACAGCCACAAAATTACGGTTTTGCTGACATAAACGCCATCAGCTCCCGCCTTCGGCCCATACAGCCCAGGCCGCCCAGTTAAGCCTGTGCGGCCGCAGCTCCTCAGAAAGCAGCAGCCGAGATCGTTACCTGATCTTATTGCCGGTTTTCATGCGAATCCACTGCGGGATGGGCCGGTTCTGCTTCTGCTTCTTGGCGAGGAAGCGTTTGATCTTGAACGTCTTGTGCGACGACTGCAAGAGAGCGAGGCGGTCAATCCCTCCCGCCGCCCCGGCACAGCCCCGGCCCCGCCAGGCCTCGGCGAACCGGGAATGTTGTACCCAGGTCCCTCCCGATCACCCCGCCCTGCCGCCCCCGCGGCCCACCCGCCGAGACTCCCGAGCGCGGCGGCTTCGGGGAGAGGGCTCGGGGCGCGGCGGGAGGGCGCGGATGGCCGCGGATGTCTCACCATGGCGCGGAGCTGCGCGGCGTCCCGGCGATGGCGGCGGCCGAAGAGGCGGAAGGGGCGGCGCGTCCCGGCGATGGAGGCGCGGGAGCAGCGCCCCCTGCCGGCCCGGAGGCCCCGCGCGCAGTGAGGGACGGCGGCGGCCGAGCGAGTTTGTGCGAGTTTATTTGGGTTTAATACAAAAAAACAGCTATGGCTAAAATTCGCTAGCTTGGGAGGAGCTGCTACTGGCGAAGTCTCGTTCTGGGCTGTAAAACAATACTTCAAGTTATGAGGGAAGAGGAAGCAGTTCCAAGAGGCCAGGAGTTGGGAAGCGTTTCAGACTTGAGAGAAGGGGAGATGCTGGAAAAGAACAGGATGCCCAAACCAGCTACATTTGATTAAAAATAAGCATTTCAGTGTAGGGAGACTTTACATGAGAATTTATCAAGACATATTCAACTATTAAGCCAGCTTATTCATACACTCCAACTTAAGTTACTTTACTTTATCCAAAGAACCACTGAAGAGGACGGTCTCTCCCTCCCTAACACAGTTACTGCACAGCCAGATGTTCTGCTCCTTACGTGCCAAAGGGCTCCTGTCCACTRGAACCTCAATAACCCCAGCCTGTGTACCTGTCTAAGTACTAGACTGACACAATTTAGCTTTCACTGCCTCAGGAAGGAGCACTACACAACATAGCAACACCTGTATTAACTCCAGGCAACTCCAAGCTTGCTCTGTTTAAGTGCATCCAACACTGGCTCCAATTGCCTTACAGTAGAGCTCTGGCTTTTGATCCAGGTGTCATCCCCTCCTGACCACCACTCATTTATTATCAAACTTAAGGCCATGAAATCTTTCTATTTTGCAAAGATTCTCTTCTCTGTTGTAGTTAGATGCTGGGAAAGTAAATTCAAATAACTGAAAATACAATGAGAACACATTTCAAATTCCGAATCTACAACTGAGGTTCTTTAACCAGAAACATCCAACAGCACAATGCCCCCTTTTCTTCCTTTGTTCCTTCTTCGCTCCGAAGGCACTTCTGGATTGCGTAGTACATGCTCTTTGGCTGCACAGACAGTCAGAACACATAAGGCTTGCACGTCAGTCACTCCTCTTCCTTCGTGTGACTGGTCTCACCCTCCTGCTTCTTATCCACTCCCTGATCTGGGGGCTTTGCAGCACTGTCTTCATATTGACACAATCTACTCCGGCTTCGGGCTCCGGGCTGGTACAGCTGCATTGCTGGGCGATCCTGAAATAAACCAAAACTATTTAGACTCTTTCATAGCTCCCTGCTGTCAGGGTTATTATGGTATCAATTCTGTGGTATTAGAAATGGCTCCAATTCAAATTCAAACTTTTCAGGCTAAGTTTAATTATTCCACAGTGATGGCAATGTAACTTCAGTTGTCCCAAATCAAGGTTGTCTCTKTTGTAAGGCAGTATCTCTGTTCAAGGCACAAAAGCACTGCTCAAAGTTGAGGTTATTTATAAAGAGTTTCCTGTTGAGTTTAGCTCACACTCTCTCAGAAGAGAGGCCAATTTCAAAGTTTGTAAACTCTGAGTTTTATTTATACCTGACAATGCCTTAAATGATACAGAAAACTAGCATAGAGATGCTACAAAAACATATATTGCAGARTACAGGAAACTAGACTCAACACATTACTGTTGAGCCTACGGGACATATAATATTCTGCAARTTGCAGTTTTGTTCCTATTTTAAGGAACCTGTTCAATCACACTCCCACTYTGAGATGCATATGCAGGCACCTCTAGCATCAGCAGACACAGGCAGATTACTGATACTCCACCAACACCTTAAAGATACAGCCTATGGCACARGTCAGCAAATGAAAAGGGATCAGTGTCTTACAATTTATCCCATGTTTTCCTGATTTAGTTCTTATTCAGTGACAAATAACACAAACAGTTTAGCAAAGCTCAGTTGGCATTTCTAGCAATGGCAGTTTGTTGCCAGAACAGTGAGAAGTTTCAACAGAGAAACCACATGGTTCTTTCCTTGAAGTGCTTTTATCCTAAAAACCACAAACTGAATCCCTTTGAATCAACACAGGAATTTAAAGAAATCCAGCACCTTGTTTCTGATACGATCCCTTTTAATTGTATCCTCTTTTTTATCATCTTTGGTTACTTTCTCAGATTTGTCCGTGCTGCTGGTAAAGTCTGTAAGATCACTTTTCTTTCCCTTTTCTCTGAGTAAGTCTCTYTCCTTTTTCACCTCTTCCTCTTTTCTTCTAAAAACCTTCTCTTTCTCATAGCGCTCTTTCTGCCTCCGACGCTCCTCTTCTTGGCGTCTCAATTTCTCTCTCTGTGCTCTCTCATATTCTCTGTCTCTGTCAAAATCTCTATCTCGGTCCCTGTAGTCCTTTACACACTCATCTTCTGATCTGTATGAAAACAAAACTGAAAATTAAGCTCAAAAGATTCATCAAACAGAGCTGGGAGATCAATGTAACAGTGGTGTAAATGTGCAATAGGAAGACGACACACTGGCAGGTTCTAGGGAGCTCTTGGGAGGCTGTGATAACCCGAGTCATGCATGGCATCCAGAGAGGACACTGACCACTAAGTTTCCCAGCCTCATAACTTGCATAGCTGGCTTTGGAAAATCACCTGAATTTCTCTGTCTTATCTATATTTCTCACAAGGCAGAACTGAACCTCAAACAAAACATGGAGCTGTTGARAATTACATCTTCCACTTTGGCTTTTTACAAGACTTAGAGGGACTGGTAACTGGAGAACACCTCTCCTCTCCCCATGGTTATAATAATGCTCTCATTGCAAGGACAGTGCTCACAGCCTGCTGCAGTGACCTAAACATGGGCTTCTTTATGCAGCTCCTATAATGAGTTGTAAAATATTAAAATCTGTCCACTAATGAAGAATTTTCAGGTAATTTACAGAGCTTTCTGTAATCACAGGATGTGCACTGCCAAGAGAACACAGCCCATGACTTTTATCAGAAAAAAACATTTGAAAGGAATTTCAAAACACGTTCATGGCAGAGCAGCCTAASCCTCAGTATGATCAGGAAACAAGTTATAGATACATATATATTTATAGCAAGTACTAGAATACTTTTTTGCCTTCTCTTCTTTTGTCTCCCCATCAGATCGTTTGGCAGATGCACTACTCGCATTTTTTTCCTCCCTCAGAGTCTCTTTTTCCAGTTTCTTGGATTTTTCTTTTCTCTCCAAGTCTTTTTCATCTTTTTCAGGCTTCTTAAGTAGCTACAAAGAAAACAGAAGTCTCAACTAAAAAGCTCACTCTAATACATATTGTCTGGCACAACACCGAAATTGCATCAAAGGAACCAGTCCAGTAAGAAGTAAACATTAAAGAAATATTACTGCAAATCACAGTATTTCTAAAAGCTGGAGTGTATGAGTAAGCCTTATTCACACAGAAAACTAGGATTTTTCTCCTAAACCAGGTCATTTTAGAAAGCTTAAAAATAGTCTCCATTCCATAGTAAATTCACAATCCTGTTTACCACAGCATGTACAACAGTCACATGACAAAACCTTTAAATATTACTATGAAGCATTACAGCATGTAAACCTTTACAATGCCTACTATTGAATATTACAAAAAATTGGTCATTTACTAACACCGAACTCATGTGATTCTTCACACAATACCCAAAGCACATTTTGAGACTGATATACAAATAATAGGGGAAAGGGAGTGTAACAGTTTATAATAAAGAACTGTTCTAGACCTTAATCTTTGGTTCTTCTTTTGATCTGTCTCTTTCTTTTTCTGGGCATCTGTCTACTTTCTTCAATTTTTCTGCTTCTTTTCTCTTCCTTCTCTCCTCCTCTTTCCATTTTCTTCTTTCTTCTTCTCTTTGTCTTTTTCTTTCTAATTCTCTCCTTCTTCTCTCCTCTCTTTTTTCTTCTCTCAGTCTCTGTGTACGTAAAAATAAAGAAAAATAGTGTCTCTCCACACCAAAAAAAATCTCTTAAGCCATCGAACAACTCACCTCAGAGCTGTCTGTATTATAAAAGGAAAAAAGTCCTGTCATCTCTATTGTTGTGAACTTGAACATGTTGCAGCAGTATTTTTTTTACTCATAAGCCTTAATTTGTACTGTCTTAAAAAACCCAAACACAACACTGGCCTCAGCCTTCATCATTCAAATTTTAATTAAATCTGCCCCACTTCTGATTTTCTCCTTTGCTAAACGTTAAAATAACATTATGTGCTAGGAGAAATATCATCTACAAGAACCTCAGCCATAACTGCACTAATAATGGAAGCACTAAAATGGAATCTCTTTTGTCAGTGCAACAAGAGGCGTCGTGCTGTGACCAGAATGTACCACCATTCCCATTCCTACAAGCACAAAGTACCACCATTCCAACACTTCAGTCCTATAAAATACATGAGACAGAAGTTGGGTCAAAAACTCCTTCTWCAAAAGGAAGGGCAGAAACATATCAACACACACATTGCAGTATACACACCCATGCTTTAAATGAGCAAATTATACTTGCAAACAACAAGAAAATTCTGGAGGTAAGTCTTACCTGTTTATTTTTCAAGAAGTTCAATAAAGGAGTAGTCTTTTTAGCTGGAGAATAGRTAAAACAAATGTAAATTATTTGCCTTATCCAATACTGCAATACCTACAACAAAACCCTGTATGAAGTGAAGTAGCCTTACACAATCCCCTGCCTGTCTCCTCTCACATACAGCAGTGACACAAGTATTCCAAACCCATCTCCAAACAGTGGCAACTATTAGGATACTAACAGAATATCCATTACACCTATCACTACAAGGATACTCAGTCTGCATTAGGCTTTTCTCAGACTCCCTCAYTTTTAAAGAGTTCCCTGTAACATACTTAAAAAGAGCAACCTGGTCATTTTTTTGTGGTATTTTACCTAATCACACTATCTCTTAACTTATGCCTGCATGGAGTATCACTGCTCACAGCACTTGCATTAAACATCACTGCATCTCACTGAAATRCAGCCACTCCACAGCCTGGTCTGGCTAACAAACACCTGCAACAGGAAGGAACTTCGTCATCTAAAACTTATACCCACAGAAGAATTTAGAGCATGGGAACAAACAAAACACACTAAATAATATTAGCCTAAAGGTTTAACAAATACTAAGAAGGTACACAAAATAATTCAGTCTCCTCCAGGCTGAGCTTCAAATTACAAACCATGTGTAGGTTTCTTTGTGCTCTAGGAAAATACAACTATAGTAGACAAGATTTCCATACCTATTAGCTCTTTGTTTCTTGCCTCTATTTCCTCCAATAAAGTTTCAGGAGTGGAGGTTAATTTTTCATCATCTGCACTGTAACTTTCCAAAAACTTCTTGTATTCTGGATCTACAGAGAAGAGGAGAAAAAAGGGGAAAAATACTGTAACATGGAAAGTATTTTCATTATGCACTGCTGGGTTACATTTACTTAAGTTGGGTTGTTTATGTGCCACCTTCTAATAAGATGACAGCTCTCAAATGGGCAGCTGCATTATGTGTCTCTGGGACAATCATATTTAATAGATTTCCAGCTGACAAAGCAGTGCAAATAAATTTCACATATAATTAAGCAAACATCCTATTGGTGGAACTATAGTGCCACAGTAAAAACATTACAAATTACTGCTAAGGGTTTCAAGTTCTATATGTGCAAAACAAACTAGCTTGCTGTTATACCATCTTCGATAGTTCCAGTTTTGGCATCCTTTTTCTTACTCTTCTTTTTTGCAGCTTTTTGGAAAGGTGCAAACTCAACTATGGCAGCATATTCCTGACCTGTTAAGAGAAGAGGAAAAAATACATTTAAAAAAAAAGATGAAACAGATATAAAGTAAGAGTAGATTGTCAACATCTAAAGCRGGAAGTTAAGTCTCACAAGAAATATGCAATATTAGAAAAACTATTTATAGATAATAAAAAAAAATGTATTTTGAGAGCCATTTAATAAAACAAACCACTTTAGATACAGCAGAATTCATAACCTAAACATTCTCCCTATATTAACAAACCACCTAATTCACAAAGTGACAAGAAGGACATACTAGATTTAAGACTGGCCATGACTGTCAGTTCAGCCACCTCAGCAGCACCACACCACGTAACAGCCTCATCCTACAGACCGCATTCATTGTGCAAGAAGGAATATCTTAAGTTAATGTAACAGAAGCAAATCTCAATTTTTAACAAAATACAGTAGACTGCAACACATTACAAGCAGCTTCAAAGCTTTGTCTTCTGACAAGAATGCTACACGTATGGATGCACAAATCCAGCCGTGTACAGCAAATACAGTGCGCTGTTACACAGCAAACCAGCTCATATATRGGATCTAGAGGTTAGTGGAACTATGCATGTATGTATTTCTACATGCACTGGAACTGTTATTTACGGAACTAAATCCAAACACATCATCAAATGTGGCTGTTCATACCCACCCCTCCAAAACTCAACCACCACACGGCCGGCACAGACAGTAGGGTAGCAGCAACATCCATCGAATACCATTCACTTGCCTTTGTGATCAACAAAAACATAGCCGTCGAAGCGATCCCTGAAGAGGACTATGTCTTCCTGGTTCTTGAAGTTGATGTAGGCTCTTGAGAACATGTGCGGGTACAAGCTGCAGAGACACAAACCGAGAGCGCTCGGCTGACGAGGCGGCGGCGCCACCAGGACCCGGCTGGCGGCAGCGGCGGCTCCCGGGAGCGCCGGGGTTGGGCCGGCGGCCGTACCTGGAGTCGTTCGCGAAGAACTCGAAGTAGTCGTGCTCRGGCAGAGGCTGCAGGTGCTCCTCCAGCTGCTCCTTCGTCAGGCTGGGCGGCAGCCGGCGGATCACCACCTGCGGCACAGCAGGACGGGCGCTCAGGGCGGCGGCAGCGCCGGGGACGAGTCATCACCGCGCCTCCTCGACACATCCCGTCCCAGCAGRTCCCCGCTCTGCCCCTGAGGCCCCCGCAAGCAGCCCGTTACCGGGGAGAGGTCGCGTTACCGGGTGGAGGTCCCGTTAGCGGGGGAAGGCCCCGTTACAGAGGGGGAGCCCTGTTACCGGAGGCTGGGCGGGCCCGTTACAACGGGGGAACCCCATCACGGGCAAGGGCTCCGTTCCCGAGCAGCGCACAGGCCCCACCTTGCTAAGCGTCTCCTTCTTGTCCTTGGGCCGCTCCAGGCGATCGAGGTCGGCGGCACCGGYTCTGCCGTCCGTGCCAGCGGCGGGGCCCGTGCCCGGACCCGCGGCCAGCAGAACCCCCGGSCCGGCGGCGGCCCCGCGCCGCTCCTTGGGCCTGGCGTTCTCCTTGTCCTCCTTCATCCTGATCSCGATCCTGATTCCGGGACCGGGCAGCGCCGCGCGCGCCCAGTGGCCACCGTCCTCTCGCGAGACTGGGCCTCAAATTGGCCAGGGCCACCGCCGGACTACGACTCCCAGCGTGCACCGCGCCCCACACCGCTGATCCCGGTGGTGTCAGCGACCGGGACCGGGACCGGGACTGAGATCGGTATTGGGCGGTCAGGAGCGCGGGCACGGCTTCATTCCTTGCTGAGGTACTGTTCGCCGGTAGCGCTGTCGCTCCCACCGCCCGCTCTGGCTCGCTAGGCTGTGAGGGGCCGCGGGGCAGGCCGGGAAGGGCGCGGGGCAGGCCGGGAGTGCCCCGGCACTCGGCGCAGGGACCGCGGCACCGACACTGACACCGGCACCGGCACCGGCACCGGCACCGGCGGGATGTGGTACGAGATCCTGCCCGGCATGGCCATCATGGGCGTCTGCCTCAGCGTTCCCGGCCTCGCCACCGTCTTCATGCACCGCCTGTGCCACGGCGGCAAGGTCAGCGCGGCGCGGGGCGGCCCTCGGGATCCGGGACCCTGAGGTCCGCTTCCCTACCGGGGCCGCCCTTAAACCCCAGTCCCCTGCACCGTTCTGTGTTCCGTTCCCTCCCGGGGGTTCCCCKTCCCCTGCGTCCCGCCTTTCCTCGGGAGTCCCTGCCCGAGGCCCTAACAGGCAACGCTGTGCCCGCAGGAGAAGAGGATCGCCCGCTATCCCTTCGAGTGGACCTTGTTGGAGAGGGACCGGCGGCTGTCTGGTGTCAACAAGCATTATGTGCCCAAGGCAGGTTTTGGGGGCGCTGGGCAGGGGGGGAGGCAGTACCCAGGCGCTGCTGCTCTATCACCAAGCTCTGGGATGGGGCTCCCGCAGCTGCTGAGGTGGGCACTGGTCACTCCTGGGGGTGTCAGATCTCACTCGGTGCCTGTAACTGGCCTGCCTCTGGGGATGTGCATTTTTATTTTGTTCTAATTAAGACTTGGGTAATAAAATATAGTTTGAAAACATGCATTTTTAGATATGCCCTGTTGCACACTCGTGGCAAGAATGATGCAAATATAGCTGTTATTTTTTCTTTTTCAGGGTCTGGAGAACTTAGACTAAGGTGGCAACACTTTGAAAAATCCATGTATCTATAGAAAATGTTTTAACTCTTAAATAAAAYTATACATATGTTCAACCCTTGTATCTGTGTTGCTGTGGTGGGGTGACGCCACCTGCAAGGTGTATCTTCTCTCCCTCTCAGGGGAGAGAAGATGCATTCAAAGATTTGTGAGTTGAGATGAAGACAGGAAGAGACCATTCATCAATTACTGTCACTGGCAGATGCAACTCGACTCGGAGAAATTAATGCATTGACAAATAAGAGCAGGKTAATAAATAAAAACAAGTCATAAAACACCTTCCCCCTACTCTTCCTTCTTTCTGRGTTCAGCTTCACTCTTGATTTTCTYTGCCTCTTYCCTGCTGAGCTGCACAGGGTGATGTGGAATGGGGGCTGTGGTAAATGTCATTACACACCCATACTGCTTCTTCCTTCTCAGGGAACGACTTCTCACACTCGTTCCCTGCTCCAGCATGGGGTTGCTCCCAAGGGAGACTCCTTCACTTCTCCAAAGTGAGYCCTTCCCATGGGCTRAAGTTTTTCATGAACTGCTCCAGCATGGGTCCCACTCATAAGGTGCAGTCCTTCAGGAACAGCCTGCTCCAGTAGGGTCACAWGTSCWGCCTGCAAACCTGCTCCAGTATGGGCTTCTATCTGTGGGCACACAGGTCCTGCCAGGAGCCTGCTCCARCATGACCCAAAGGGGTSAYAGCCTCTTTTGGGTACATTCAGCTGCTCCTTGGGGTCCTTCCTGGGCTGCAGGGATCTCTGCTCCATCATGGACCTGCAGGRGCACAGCTGCCTCACCATGATCTGCACCATGGACGGCAGGGAAGTCTCTGCTCTGGYACCTGGAGCACCTCCAACCCCCTGSCRAGACCTGTTGTCATCCTGGAAGAGTGGCTGCTGGGAATTCAGTACCCTATGATCTGCTGAAACATGTCTGGCCTCTCTCGTACGGTACGAGTGGTCCTTTCCCTCTGAAGGGCTGCGTGTTGCAAGCACTGGCATTCAGAGCCTGCAGTACCTCAGTGCACCGGGCTGGACAGTCTCCAGCGCACAGACTGGAAGCTGCTTTAGCTCCCGAATTGTCCAGAATAGCAAAAACATGACAAGCAGAGAATCTGCCTGGATCCCGCAGCTGTTTTCCTGCTCGTACCGCGTTCCGTTCCCGGTAGCCTGCGGGGCTGGGCAGGAGCGGCGAGGGGATGCCGGGAGCGGCACGGTCTCGCCATGGTGACGGCGCGGGGCCCCGGACAGCGGCAGGGCCAGCGCCGGGCCCGGGCACAGCTCCCCGGGGCCGGACACCCCGCCCGGGACCGGAGTGCCCCGGGGGGCGCCCGCCGAGCCTCGGCAGCCGCGGCCTGGCCAGGGTAGAGGGGGAACAGCAGCAGCCGCCGCCGGGGGAGCCCTCAGCGGGGTGAGCGGGGCCGCGGTACGAACCGGGGTAGGTGAGGTGAGGGACTGCCCGCCGCTCCCCGTGTGCCTCAGACGGGGCCTGCAGCCCTCACACCGGTGCTGTCTGTGTTTGTGCGTTTATGTCCCTAAAGGTGAAGCCGATGGACAAGGAAGAGGAAGAAGCTGCCGGTGAGGAAAAGGCTCACATCCCCGCAGAAAYTGAGAGGAGCAGTACAGAGGAAAGTCTTTCAGAGGCCAAGGAAAAAGAGAAAGGTATGTGTTTGCTCTACTACAAAGTGCTGGAGTCTTTCCAGRAGGATTTGTCAGCACTGTATCTGTTTTAGAAACCAAGCATGTCATCAAAAATATCGAGTGGACCACAGCTGAGAACTTCACWGTGGAGACAGGACGGCAGCAGATTGAAGAACTCATTTCTGTGAGTCACAATTCCATCCACTCAGGAAGGCCACACCTCACTATTAAGAAGTATGAAAAATTAAAGGAGAGCACSTCTGTTCCTTTTTAGCAGCACTTCCAAGGCGGCTCTGCTAGAGGGAGTCTTAATGTGTTGCATTTATTCAACAGACGTGGGACATCCATGAAAGCTGGCTYCACCACTCAGAATTTCTCGAGGAAGAAGAACTGAAGGACAGCAAGAGGTACCATTACAGAGCTAGCTGGGGCATCCCAACACGCAGAAAACCCGTCCCACGAGCAACAGCAAGTGTCTACTTTGTTATAGTGATCTCCAAATTAAAACCTGACGTAAGTACTCAGAAATGGTATGGGCAGAGTAGTTCTTTAAGGGACAAGAATACAGTGGCATTCCTGAGGCAGGGAAATGCCAGGACAGTGGAGAGATCAGCGAGGAGCCAGCAACTCTTGTGAAGATGGTGACAAGGCCTGGATRTTGCCAGAGCAATGGCAGGAGATTTAGACATGGCCTAGTAGGAACATGCACTCAGTTGGTAAGGGGAGCAGGACACAGAGCAGGCTGGGTTAGTTCCCAGATGACTGACAGAAGTTGACACAGAATCTGGCAGGATCCTACATCTGCCTCCCTGCTCTTACCATCTTCCCCTTCCAAGCAACAATTGCTTTGGGCAYCAAGTAACTAGGGCTGAGTGGAAGGTGAGTTATGGAATGAGGGTCAGTAGAGAGGGARTGACACTTTGCTCTTCAAGCTGTCTCAGAATCCCTTTCCTGATCAGCCTGAAGTTTGCACGTGTACAATAAACTCTTGCAGCTATAGAGAAAAAAATGAAAAAATATTGCACTGAGTAGACTTCTTACCTCTAGGTTTAGTCATATTGGACCTTAGTGTTTCTACTCAGCAGCTATGGATCTCCAAGTAACAGTCCGTGGTTTAACCCCAGCTGGCAACTAAGCATCACAGAGCTGCTCAGTTACTCCTTTCCCACTACCACAGGATGGGGGAGAGAATTGAAAGTGTAAAAAAAAAAAAGTTTAATAATATTTTAAAAATGGAATAATAGTAAAAAATTAAAAAAAAAAAAAAAACCAAAGACTGAAAGAGAAGAAAACTGTGAAAGACAAGTGAGGCAAATGAAAACAATTACTCACCACTTGCCAACCAATGCCCAGCCAGTGCCTGAGCAGCATCTTCCCTCCTGCCCAACCAAACATCCCAGTTTTAAAYAAATAGTAGCTCTCGCTTAATGGCCTCTGCCCTGTCTCTGCTGTCTTGCAGACCGCTCCTGTGGAGGTCTTCTACAGACTGGAGTCCAGCAGGCTGGTTCGGAGGTAAATGTTACTACTCTCCTGTTCTARCAAGCTTTTCCATTCCAAAACCAAACAGGGAGCTCAATGTAAATTTGCAGTAACAGTAGAGAAGTGGAAGTTGTCAAAATCTTGCTAGATKAAGTGCAAGATTATCACTAGCTTCACACTCTTAAAGGCATGAATAGCCACCCTGTGGGCACCTGCCTTCTCCAGAAAGAATTTGTCCTGTTTTATAAGGTCTAGGTGGGGGTCTTTATTATAGCAGATAGCCTTATGTGGTGAACAAAAGCCAGCTCTCAGCTGGCCAAACTTGGATTCAATATTATGCTTACAATTTACCTTCTTCTTATTCCATTCTCCAGGCCAGAACAGTGTCAGTTTAGAGAAAAGTGGCTTAAAGACATCATTGAAAATAAAATAGTGTGCCTAGAAAGACTTGCTTCTCGATGAACAGCTCCAATTCACCATCACCAGTACTCTGTTGTGGAGAACTAAATAAACACCATCAAGAATGAAAGACTCTTCCTTTATAGCATTTCTATTTTGTAGATACATAAGAAACACTGAACCTGTGCAAAATCAGCTATGYCCTGACATGGCAGCTGGCTGTGTGTGACAGTCCCTGGACCAGGTTCCTGAGTATAAATGGGAAGAAGCAGCTGGGTGGGATTTGCTGTTTGTGAATGCCAGATCTGTGAAACTCCAGGGAAAATATTTTAGGACTTTAGGACTTTTATTTTTTTGATACAAATGTACAAGACATCTCTGCTTAGGGRAACAAAAAAAAATATTTAGGGGAACAAAAAAAGAAACAACCCACCTCTCAAAACATTTTCATTTCAAAAACATTTGAGAAAATGAAGTGCCAGGGGGATATGTTTGGAAATACGCAGCTGAATCAAAGAGCACTCCCTGAGCAAGCCCTCCAAGCAGAGTTTAAAGCAAGCCATGTAATACTACTGAAACAGAGCAAATTAAAAYACTACAGGGTTTATAAGGGTTTAATCTAGAACACTTTCAGAAACAAAAACATTTCAAATAAATTTAAAGATACATCCTTGTTACCACCTGTGTACATCYAGGGGTTCCAATCACTGCACCCCACTGCACTGATGCCTATGTATAACATAGGAGAAAAAGAAGCAAGCAACTTAGTTCTTCACCATATATTTCAGTGGATTGAAGATCAGACCCTCCTGTTACTGTTTCTTTACATCTGAGCTGTGATCTGCTTGCTCTAAAAGTAATGAAGCCCATCTGTATTAAATTACAAACTCATTTACAAAATATTTACAAGTCTGGTTTGAACCACAAGCCAAACTCAACTGTTTTGAGAAAAAAAACCTAAATCTAAAAGACTAGTGAAAAAATAGCAAAGTGGAYAGTGCTAGATCTTAAAACACKAACTCAGGAGTTCCTTCATTTTTGMTACTGGTACTAGTAGCTTGTTAAASRTCTTTTCAAGCTAAATGATCCTGTGAGTAACCAAAATAAATGGAATTTTAAAAAATCACACATATTGGCATTAGGTAACAAAGCCATCCCATGGGATCCTCCTGCTTGTCTGATTGAAAGCAAGCGCAGAACATTGACACCTCTAATCTTCCCTGCACGGTCCTGCCTTCCCTGCCTTGTAGCCTTTCTCTTTCCAGGGATTCCTTGCAGATCGTAAACAAACGATCCAAGAAAATCTGATTAAAATAACTGGTTCCTTGACACAAGTAATCCACTCCTGAGGCTTGGCCCTGTTGGGTGAAAGGCGCTGCAGCACCTGCAGCTTTCRGCAAATCACGACTGGACCAGGTTAGCTGCCACGTGGTGCAACCTATGGTGCACAGCTCAAATAAAGCATTATTTTTCCTCTTTGCCTTTAGTCTTTCTGTAGACCATCTCTCGAAAGCTTGCAAGGATCTTATTCTCTCGTTTCCTCCTCTCTTCCTGGTTGAAGGATGCCAGAGCTCTCTTYTCATCGGCGCTGTAGATCTGGTTCTCTTTACGCAGACGCACAGCTTCCATGCGGCGATGTCTGCRGGGGAACACAGGAGCAGAGGTATCAGTGCCCTGTCACAGCTTCCATCCATCAACTGACCTCAATGTGTTCAACGGCTTTAAATAAAGATACTGAAGTACTAAAGCCTGAACAAAGGCCTTGAAAAACTCACTATCTCTAGCAATGGGGAGTTTAGTGGAGATTATCTCAAGCACACAGAGCACCTTCTCCTACATGCTTTCAGGTAGAGCTTGGAAGCAGTTTTCTGCTCAGCCAGCAGAGAAAGAAAATTCCACCRAACCCCTGCCATCATCAAAACCATACCTGCTGCCACTCATGACATAACCAGAGCTCTCAAACGATGCGATCTCTTCACTGGTCAGGCCGATTTCACCTCTCCGGGGAATGCGTTTCCCTGCTTTTACATACTCTGCCATGGCTGCACCTTCACCGGGCAGGAGGGCATGTCCATAGCTAAAAAACCARAAGAGGTGATTTCAATCAGTTTCAGATAGAGAGAGCCTGAGCTAAACATCCAACTTTCCTATTCACTACTATATACAGCTGCATTTTTAAACAGTTTCTTATTCTTTCCCYACACATTAGCCTGTTTCTTCCTTATGACAACATTATGAAGAACATCTTACATTAAAAGTTGAGTTCATTCTGGTGACACTACTAGGTCACAATACTGCAGAGTATTAGAATAAAGGCACTTATAATTGATTTTCTAGAAACCAAGGCTAAAAAGCATAAACCAGACTTTTCTACCCAAATTCAGGCYAGGGRAAAGGCTAGTACCACTAGCACTTTWGTCTGTGATTTTCTGGCACAGCATTTCTCCCTCTGCATGCCTTATTGTTGTAACAGCCRTTTTGAAGAGTAACTTTCACACTTGATTTACTTGATTTGATCAAAGTACCATTAGAGCTGGCTACTCACTTCAAAGGTCTGTCATCCTGAGATGCATGAGTTTTGGGAGCCTCCGGTCCAATCAAACTATCAGCTTCAGTATTTTCTGCAACRATCAAATAATGAGGAAGCTTTATCTTGTTCTTTGTTATCACAAGTGTTACACAGGTCAGCAACACCTAACAAAGAATTCACAAAAAGGACATCAAGAAGTTTGCATCCAAGTTTAAAGTCAGGTGAACTTACTTGACCTCTCAATCCAGAGATCATCCCCTTGAAGTGTTTCATCATCGGAATCTTCACTACTTGAATCACTGGATTCCTTCCTGCTCTTCTTAGTCCTCTTTTTCTTATACTTCTTCCTGTGATGTAGCCAGATAGACACGCTATTTATCAAAATTTAAGATGAAAGAAGGTGCTTGGAACCATACTCAAATAATTAGTTTCACAAGACAACTTCCACCTATAGGAAGACTGTTTGCTATGYTTCATATAAAACACTTTACAGCAAAGCCAAGACAATATATATCTTCTGCTAYGACTTTCATGGTGTTAGAAAGTGGCTCTGCCATGCAGGGAGTTGTTTGYGCTGCACAGTTGTGTAGATTTAAAAAAAATACATTAAGTTAATATAATTTGTGGGCTCTTGCAAATTACCCAAGGTGCTCAGGCTCCCTCAGGGCCTGCAAAGAAAATTAAGTTGCTTTCCAGCCAACAGCATCCAGAGTGACACACAGCAACCATGACACTTACTTTTTGCTCTTCTTTTTCCTCTTCTTGTTTTTCTTTTTATCTTCATCTGAAAAAAAAAATCTATTATCAAAAAGAGATGAATAACTATAACTAAGCAGTTTACTGCACTGTGAATAACTTGGCATGGCTTTTCCARTCCCAGTGTTCCTGGAGCTGTASGCCCTAACCCTAACCACGACCYTTACCATTCCCTAACCTCTCCCYAAGCACTACCCTAACCCTAACCCCATCACAAGTGCYTCCAACAGAATGCCCCAGTACACACACAGATGGCACTTGTTTATACTGGGAAAGTGCTAGTAGAAGGCTTCCTGCAGTACTGGCTGATATGAGAATATATCAAACGCATCTCTGGCAGGAGAGGCCCAACAGATGCTAAATTCAGAAATCCCATTTCCTGAGGCCACACTGCAAGCCGACGCTCTCTTGTCTTACCACTGGAGTTCTGCTCAGACTCTGAGTCACTGTCGCTGTCCTCAGAATGTTTCCTGCGCTTTCTTTTGGATGCTTTACGTTTTTTCTTTTTTCTTTTCTTCTTCTTYTTCTTCTTTTCCTCTGGAATGTTTTTAAAGGTAACATTAGAGAACAAAGATCATCTAGCTCCATTTGTATTCCCTAATCTTCCCAAAGCAAAGCTCTCCTTTGAGCTGGAACCCACCCCACTCACTTCCACCCATCTCAGCCAGGGAACCTCCTGCAAGCAGCAGCAGCAGCAAATTCTAGACAACAGTACCTTCCCATTTTCAAAAAAGCTGTGCAAGCCAAACAAAATACCTTCTGAGCTGGAATCCGAAGAACTACTCTTAGACTTTGCCTCTTCATCTTCTACCGGTGTGTGCTCATCGGAACTGAATAAAAATATAACAGTTTGCTATTTAAAATCTATATTGTTGTCAGAGGTACACATATGACCAAAGACGTTTTCAGATTTAGAGTCAATCCTTGCAAAGGAGTAAAATATTAAAGAGCTATATTGCACCTGCTGTCAGAAACACAACACAAAAGCCACTTGATCTACAATAAATCACAAATTGCATAATTGGTATGTTGGAATTATTTGGTGGGGAAAAAAACAGTAATCTCATTATTTTGATTCAGAAAGGAACTGATCCAATAAGTATTGTGGCATCATGACTGGATAGTGCATGGATGAAACATTTTTGTTTTATCATGGATAAAACATTTTGACACGTAATCAATATGAAAAAAAACCACGCTGAAATAAGAGAGAATATGCCTTACTCAGGGTCAGGAACTTTAGGTGAAAGCCCCCAGACTTCAGGTGCCCCCAGTTCTCCAATTCTCTCTCTCTCATTGAGCCTCCTGCAAAGGAAAACACCACCACTGAAGCGTAGTTTACAACACCCAGCATTTAAGTCCTACAGGTTACTGTTTCTGAGCGCCTAAAGCAGCAACAATGAAATAGAAAAAAACAGGAGCAAGGAGCCAGCTCGCAGGCCGGGAGGCTGGCAGCAGAGCCGCGCACACTGCAGAGGATCGGCGGTAGCGGGTGTTAACGCCGTTCCAACCGACCCCCGTCCATCCCGTCCCCCGGGCGGCCCTGCCAGCGGGGACTGCACGGGAGCCCGTGAAGGGCCTGACAGCCTGAGAAGGGCCTGACAGCCCATGAAGGGCCTGACAGCCCGTGAAGGGCCGGACAGAACCGGGCCCGGCCGCTCCCCCGGCCGCCGCAGGGCCCCGCCCGCCCCTCCTCAGAGCGCCGTCCCCTCCGCGCGGATCGGGGACCGGCGGGACAGGCCCGACCCCGGGCCGGAGCTCACCTCTGCCGCAGGATCTCCTCCTTCTCCTTCTCGTA